AAAAAGAAAGAGACAAAAAGAAAGAAAACTTGAGTTGTTATCATATATATATATATATATATATATACTTTATAATTATGATGAATTTACCTTTTTATGGGCTTGTTTGTAACGATGGTAACCCTACATTTATTAATACAAATTAATTAGAAGCAAAACTAAATTGATCATATATAAGAAAACATATCCAATATGTATGTCCCTTGCAAAACACACCTAAAGAATACTGTATATAGAAAATACTACAAAAAAAGTCAAATACCTTGTTAGTTCCATATATGTAATCACAATAGGTAAAGACAGATGCAAAGTTGCTGTGGGTTTGTCTTCCAACATAGTGATGATAATCATGATATTCTGCACCTCCGTAAAATGGTATCAATTTCGTAGGACTCCAAGGGATGTTGTACCTGCACATATACTAATATGCGAATAATTAACATATAGGTCATGTTTAGTGCACCGATTCATCGGTAGTTTGGCCGGTGGATCGGTGCACCGGTCAACCGGAGTCTTAAGTGTAATATCCGTTTCAATCGTCACTCTACAGTGTCAATCGCACCGCTACCGCACCGTTCTACTAAACGCACCCATAGTAGTTTTTTTTTTTTCATTTTTTTTAGTGGTACAAGTGAATCTCATTACAATCAGAATCAATCGCCATATGACCAAATATCTAAATGAGAATCCAACCCAAACTAACAAATTACCTTAAATAACCTATTTAATAAACTTCCAAATAAACAAACTAAACTCACATTCCGTGAGACTTGAACAATGTGAGACTTGAACCCAGGACCTCACAGTCCAGGCACGATGCATTCACCAGTTGAGCTAACAACTCGGGGTGCACATTAACTTCATTCTTAATTAACTCTAATAAACAAGAAAATCCAGGACTTTTATATATTAAAAAAACTAACTATTGTTTTCTCTCATGATTTTTTTGTTAAATGTTCTGGGGAAGTTTATATTAAAAAAAATGGGAGAAGTTGTAATTTAATTAATACTAAAGATGATGGGTTCGGCTCCTATCCAGTGGACACAATGTCCAGTGAATTCCAATACGACCTTTTTTTTTTGAAAGGCTGGAACAATATTATTGATAGAGAAAACAACCAATACAAAAACATCTGCTATAAAGTCCAACCAACAACAGATCAAAGAAAGATAGGCAACAACAAAATGGCTCCAAGTACACATAGAGCAAAAAACGTTGAAATAACTAAGACCAAAAGAAGCCATCAAAAAGCCAACAATCAATATTCCATCCCTTGAGCCACGATGCTATAGCAAATCAATTACAACTCATCAAAAATTCAGTCTCTCGATCCACTCCAGATTTGGCAAGACCATCTGCAATTTAACACACCTAGAAACATATTGAATGTGCCAAGATAGCAATTTAGCTTTGAATCCTTCAATCTGCATAATCCATTTTCTTAATCTCCATGGACAAGTAGAAGGATTGGTCACCCATTTAACACCGTTCATGGAGTCACTTTCAACAATTAGTCTCTTATTAGCAGCCCAAACAGAGGCACAAAAGATTAAGAAAGCTTCCCTGATTGCCAACAACTCAGCCATATTTGAATCAGCCTCTCCAATAGCCTTTGAGAAAACAAGTTTAATGATCTCATTCTCATCCCTTAGCACTCCACCGATGCCGGCTTTGCCTGGCTGTCCTCTAGCCGAGCCATCCACATTGAATTTCATAGTACCCCCCTCTGGCCTTACCCATACCCAATTTGTCTTTGGAGCCATTTCATTAGTCTTAAATTCAATCAGATTGGGGAATCTTAGCACATCATCATATGGAATAACCATCTCACGCCACTTCGCTTTCACCCATGAGGCAATTGTAGCTTTAATATTGTCAACAACCTGGTGAACATCAAAGATCTTTCCACCAAACACAACATCATTCCTAGCAAGCCATATAGACCAAATAATTGCGAAATAATTCATTTTCCAAACCTGGTTACGCGACACTCCATTCCACGCCATGAAAATTGCCTTTGCAGCAAGTGGCATCACCCAAACAACTCCCCACAAGCTGCAAAAGTGGGTCCAAATAGGCCAAGTGCAATTACAAAGGAAAAAAAGGTGACTAACTGTTTCAACTGAATCACCACATAGGGGGCAACCAGCTATAGTATCATTCAAGCATCCTCTCGCTGCTGGTTCGGCTTTCACCGCCACATTACCTCTTATAATCTGCCACACAAACACTTCCACCTTAGGTGGAGCTACTCCATCCCAAATTAACTTCCACACCCCATCCTGATCACAATTTCTATTAGAAGCCTCATGATAATAGGATTTCACAGTGTAATTCCCTGATATACTATGCTTCCAAACCACTTTGTCATCAAAATTAGGCAACAAGACATAACCTTTCAAGATTCTAAGAAGCCCTTCCCATTGATGTTTTTCCCAATCAAATGGATTTCGCCTAAGCTGAATATTCCATCTCCATTCACCATTAATAATCTGACCATATTCAGCCATTTTCCCTACTTTGTTAATCGCAAGAGCAAAGATTCTTGGGAAAGCATTTTTAAGAACAATATTATCAACCCACCTATCCTCCCAAAAGTTGATGAGATCACCTTTACCAGCTGAGAAGATCAACCCATCTTGAAGTAACATCGCTTCATTATCTGTAGCATTAATAGGTTGCACTATCTTTTTCCACATTGATGAGCTACTTCTGGTGCATTTTGGCAGCAAACTTACTTGGGGTGTTCTATTTTTCTCCGCAATCACCTTGCGCCAAAAACTATTTTTTTTCTTCTCCGAACCTCCATACCCATTTGTTTAAGAGGGCTTTATTCTTAATTTTGAGGTTAACAACTCCCAATCCTCCACATTTCTTCGGTTTACACACACTATCTCAATCCACCCAATGAATTTTTCTTTTATCCATGTCTCCAGACCATAGGAATCTACGTTGAATTTTATCAAGAGAATCTCTAACACCACAAGACATGTTAAACATCGACATGTAATAAGTTGGCAAACCTGAAAGGACAAAATTGATCAACGTGACTCTACCTCCCATGGATAACAATTTGCCTTTCCAAGTTGCCAATCTTTGCTTGAATCTGTCAATGATAGGATTCCGTAAAGCCTTAGAATTAGGTTTGCTCCAAGAGGCAGACCAAGATACTTACAAGGAAGCGTCTCAACTCTACACCCAATCTTCGAAGCCCACTCCTGCAAGTTGTTTGCATCAATCCCGATTCCACGCAATCTACTCTTGTTGGAATTGATTTTTAGACAAGACATCAACTGGAAGCAGTGAAGAATTCTCTTAATATTTGAAACTTGCTCTTCAATCGGCTTGCAAAAGATGATAGTGTTGTCTGCGTATTGAAGCAAATTAACCTTGAAGTTGTTTGCTCCAACAGAGATACCTTCAATTAATCCTCCAGTAGCATTTCTCACCAAAACAACAAGGATTTCACCAACAATATTAAACAAAAGGGGGGATAAAGGACAACCTTGCCTAAGGCCTTTACACATACCAAATTGCCTTGTTGGTGACCCATTCACCAAAATTGATATTGAAGCCATTGAAACACAACTCAAGATCCAATTTATCCACCTCTCGCTAAAACCCATTTTAGTCATGGCCGGAGAAAATCCCAATCAACACTGTCATAAGCCTTCTCGAAATCCACTTTAAATAAAACTCCCCCCTACCATTCTTCTTAATTTCATCCACCATCTCATTTGCCACCAAAGAACATTCCAATATTTGTCTTCCTTTTATAAATGCAAACTGGCTTTCCCCAATAACATCATTAATCACCATACAAAGTCTCCTGGCCAAAACTTTAGCTAGAATTTAATAAACACTTGATGCGCCAAGGGCTTATCATGGACATGAAGAGCACAATGGAGATCATGGAGAGGTTGATCATGGACTTGAAGGAAGCATGAACAAGCTTGAAGAAGGAGGAGGAATCACAAACCCTAATTCAAGTAGCATGGGAATCGCACATCATACTTCAAGTGACAGGGAGAAGCTTAATCGACTATTTGATCCTTTGGTGATGCCATTAGGTCCTATGACTAGGGCTAGAGTTAAAAGGTTCAAGGAAGCATTATTGGGCTTTGTTCGAACTCATCTTGAAAGATTGAAGTCCATTAAAGATCAATTGAAGAGTATTGAAGATTATAAGCCAAGGAATATTCCCAACGTTTCCAAGCTATGCACTTTGCTTGAAATCGTTGAGCCTTGAGTCTTTCATTGTGTAATCCGCTCAATTGGGCCTTAATTCTATCTTAGATCAGTTAATTATTTAGTTTGGACCTTGATTAGGGTTGGGCCTTGTTCAATTAAGTCCAATCCTCATCTATTTTCTTATTGGTTGTATTTTAGGATAGTTTCTAGATGATTCTATGTGTAAACCGCCCTTGCCTATGCATTCAATGCACAAGGTCGGTTAGGAAGGGTTTAGGCCGCCCCTTACTACTATATAAAGGGTCTATAACCCTCTTGTAAACATAAGTTGAGTTGATTAATAAAGTTGAGGTTTTTATAGCCAAATTGATTATCTTGGCTTCATTGTTCTAGTTTGAGCAAACTTAGGGTTCTTCAATCTTGTAGAGTCCTAGCAAACAATTAGGTTGCGATTGCTTAATTGTTTGTGAATCTTGTGATCTTAGATATTCAATTGCAGGTCTAATTGAAGACTTAGGGCCGATGAACGAAGAGAGATTGCTTTGTGAAGGTTGTCGACATACTAGTCTAGAAGTTGAAGAAGTACAAGTAGATTCTTGGCGGGTCTCAAGGATAGATTTGAATCTAATACAGCTAGATTCGTATCAATTGGTAATCAGAGCATAGGTTGTCATCTTCAATTGGTAAATCTATCCTTCTATTCATCTAACATCAAGTTTTTCATCCATCTCATTCATCTTCTTGAAAAATCAAACAAATCAAAAACTTTGAAAAATCATAGTCGATTCATCTTAACTCCAATCGACTTGAAATTTCAGATATGGAGTTCTCATATCTTGTAGTTTAATCGAAAAATATTAAAAAAATATAAAAAAAATTGACCAGAAACTTGTGATTTTTGTTCTGGGTTCGTTTGAAGTCGGAAAGCTTTGAAATTTGAGATTTAGACTTCTTTTAGTGTGATCTTTCTGGGAAAAATACTGAAATAAATTAAAAAAATTTGTAGCTCTAATCGCAATTTTAGATCTAGTGTTTGTCTCGGATAGTTGGGGATTAGGGTTTTGTTTGTATTGGTTGCAATTAACCCTAATTTGAGTGTTTGATTGAGTATCTTGGGTTGCTTTTGCTGTGAATTGAGACTTAATTTGAAGAATTTCAGGTTACAAACCCTATTGGAGACAAGTGGTACAAAATTGGAATTAAGTGGTACTAGGGTTTTCTAATCGATTTGAATTGTTTGATTTGTGCTTGAATTGAGTTTTTGTGCAGCAAGTTTGAAGAAGGAATTCAACATAAGGAGCCTGGATAAGTGGTTTGGTTTTGGTTTAGATCACTTTCCTTTGATTCACAAAAAATTTTGCTACTAATTGTTTGTTCCTCAAGTAGGTCACGAGAAGAAAGGGGTTCTCTAACGAGTTGCTCTTATTAGGCCTATTGAAGCTAGTAAAAGGCATAATCTTGTGAGATCATCAAGAGAGTAGTGGATCACCAATCCATAGGTTGAGTGTAAACACGAGAGCACAAAATCAAAGTATACACACACACACACACTTGTGAGGAATTTTTACTACTAATTTTTGTTCTTTGTGTAGGTACCATGGAAAATCAACAAGGAGAACAAAATCAAGCCAATTTGGCTACCATGTTGAAAACCCTAATGCAACATTTGGACAATATGGATACTAAATTTGATGCTTTGGCCAATGATGTCCAACAAGTAAAGGATGGCCAAAATCAACAAGCTCAACCTCCTCAACAAGGAGTCAATGCTGCAAACAACAATGAGAGAATTCAACTTCCACCACCAAGACAAGTTGTCCCTAGAATCGATCCTATGGAAAGGTTGAGGCAACAAGAACTTGGAGGTCAGGCAATCAATGAGCATATGCGGCCTAGAAGAGGAGTTGAAAGGGAAAGAGAGGAGCCTAAAGACAACATCAAGTACAAAATTCCTAAATTCAATGGGAGAGGGTCACCATCCGATTACTTAGAGTGGGAATCAAAATTGGACATGTACTTTGATTACCATCCTCATGCCGAACCCAAGAAAGTTCAAATTGCTACTCTTGAGTTCACGAAGAATGCTTTGAATTGGTGGAATCAATTAGTTCAATCAAGGAGAAGAAATTTGGAGAGGCCTATTGATACTTGGTTGTCGTTGAAGAGCTTTATGAGGAAAAGATTTGTTCCAAGCTTCTATACTACTTCTCTTTACCAAAGCTTGAAATCTTTAAGGCAAGGAACAAGGAGTGTTGATGAGTACTACTCCGAAATGATGTTGTTGATGTCTAGGGCCGATGTTGATGAAGCTCCACAAGCTACAATGGCTAGGTTTATGGCGGGGTTGAATAGAGAAATTCATGACATTGTGGAGATGCAACAACACTATGATGTTGAGGAATTGCTTCAACATGCTTTGAAGGTCGAGGGTCAAGTGAAAAGAAATAGTGCTAAGAAGAGCTTTGCATCATCATCAAGCTCATGGAAAACTCCAATTAAGAAAGATGGGAAATCATCTAACAAGGAGAAGAGTTGGCGCAAAAGGGAGCTAGCCCTAAATCCGATTCTAAGTCTTCATCGAGTTCTTCTAAGAATCATGTTAAGTGCTTTAAATGTCAAGGATATGGTCATTATGCTAAGGATTGCGTTAACAAGAAGGTTATGTATTTTAATGAGCATGATGAAATTGTGAGTGAAGATGAAGAATTTGCACTAGGATCTAGTGGTGATGGAGGCGATGAGAGGGGATTTGCGTATGATAATGAGGATGATGATGATGATGGTAATACACCGGCACTCTTGAATTTAGTTGCAAGGAGAACTTTAAGTGCCTATGTTAAAGGAGATGTGCACTATCAAAGGGAGAATTTGTTTCATACTAGGATGTATGCGTGAGGAAAGCCTAGTAGTGTGATCATTGATGGAGGGAGTTGTACAAACATAGCTAGTGTGTACTTAGCAAAGGAGTTAGCATTGCCTACCACCAAACACCCTAAACCCTATAGTTTAGGATGGTTTAATGATAGAGAGGAGATTAAGGTTAACAAACAAGTTTTAGTTTCTCTTTCTTTGGGCAGGTACAATGATGAGGTGCTATGTGATGTGCTTCCAATGCAAGCATGCCATGTCTTACTTGGTTGACCATGGCAATATGACAACAAGGTCCATCATGATGGTGAAACAAATAAGTATTCCTTTATGTGTGGTAAGCATCCTATTACTTTGATTCCTTTATCACCTCAAGAAGCTTTAAAAGATCAATTAAAAGTGAGGGATGAATTTGCTAAATTGGAATCTGAATTTAGGACTAAGGAAAAGAGTAAGATTGTTAGTACTAGTGTGAATTGCGTTGATGGTAAATCTGATTTGGTTGATAAGCATGCTAGTTCTAAGAAAATTGCTAAAGAGTGTATGTTTGCTACTAAAAGTGAGATTAAAGAAGCCTTGAATGATAATTCTGTTTTGATCTTACTTTTGCTTAAAAATACACTTGTGAGCACTAACCACTTGGAAAAAGAGCTTCCAAGCAACATTGTTTCTCTTTTGAGTGATTATGTAGATGTGTTTCCTGAGTAGATTCCTAGTGGTTTACCACCAATTAGGGGGATTGAACATCAAATTGACTTCATCCCTGGGGTGCAAATACCTAATAAGCCAGCTTATAGGACAAATCCTGAAGAAACAAAAGAGTTAGAGAAGCAAGTTGGAAAGTTACTTCAAAAGGGTTTTGTGCGTGAAAGTCTTTCTCCATGTGCAGTTCCTGTTTTGCTAGTTCCTAAGAAGGATGGAACTTGGAGAATGTGTGTTGATTGTAGGGCAATAAACAACATAACGGTAAAATATCGTCACCCTATTCCTAGATTAGATGATATGCTTGATGAATTGCATGGTGCTTGTTTATTTTCAAATATTGATTTAAAGAGTGGCTATCATCAAATTCGCATGAAAGAGGGTGATGAATGGAAAACTACCTTTAAATCTAAGCTAGGATTGTATGAATGGTTAGTTATGCCTTTTGGATTGACTAATGCACCTAGTACATTCATGAGGTTAATGAATCATGTTTTGAGAGCTTATACTGGCAAGTTTGTTGTTGTTTATTTTGATGATATACTTGTGTATAGCCGAAACTTAGACGATCATGTTGAGCACTTGCGTTGTGTGTTAGATGTACTTAGGGTTGAGAAATTGTATGCTAACCTTAAAGAAGTGCACCTTTTGCACAAACAAGCTTGTTTTTCTTGGTTTTGTGGTGTCATCGCAAAGTATAGAAGTTGATGAGGAGAAGATCAAAGCAATCAAAGATTGGCCAACCCCCACCAACATTGGTCAAGTTAGATCTTTTCATGGACTAGCCGGATTCTATAGGAGGTTTGTTAAGGACTTTAGCACCTTAGCCGCACCTATTACTAGTGTGATGAAGAAGAATGCACCATTCAAGTGGGGAAAAGAGCAATAAGAAGCATTTGAGACCTTGAAGGAAAAATTAACTTATGTTCCTTTGCTTGTTTTGCCTAACTTTAACAATACTTTTGAAATTGAATGTGATGCATCAGGGGTTGGAATTGGAGCTGTTTTAATGCAAGGTGGGAAGCCCGTAGCTTATTTTAGTGAGAAATTGAATGGGGCTGCATTGAATTATCCAACCTATGACAAAGAGTTGTATGCTCTTGTGAGAGCGTTGCAAACATGGCAACACTATCTTTGGCCTAAGGAATTTGTGATTCATACGGATCATGAGAGCTTGAAGTATTTAAGAGGCCAACAAAAGTTGAACAAGAGACATGCTAAGTGGAGTGAGTTCATTGAAAGTTTTCCTTATGTTGTGCGATACAAACAAGGTAAGGAGAATGTTGTAGCCGATACTTTATCAAGGAGGTATGTCTTACTTTCCATGCTTCATTCTAAGTTTCTTGGATTTGAGTATATTAAGTAATTGTATGCTAGTGATGTTTACTTTAGTGAAAATTCTGGATTTGGGAAGTATTATAAGCATTGTGGATTTTTGTTTAAGGAATCTAGATTGTCTGTACCTTCTTGTTCTTTGCGCATCATGCTCATGAAGGAATCACATGAAGGGGGTTTAATGGGTCACTTTGGAGTTGATAGAACATATGACATATTGCATGAACACTTCTTTTGGCCTAAGATGCGACATGATGTAGGAAAGTATGTTGCTAGTTGCATTGTTTGTTTGCAAGATAAATCAACATCTAAACCTCATGGATTGTATACTCCTTTGCCTATTCCTCATGAACCATGGACTCATATTAGTATGGATTTTGTGATAGGTTTACCTCGTTCTATGAGAGGTAAAGATTCTATCTTTGTGGTTGTTGATAGGTTTTCTAAGATGGCACACTTTATTGAATGCACTAAAACAGATGATGCCATTAATGTAGCTAATTTGTTCTTTAAGGAGATTGTTAGACTACATGGAATGCCTAGGACGATTGTAAATGATAGAGATGCTAAGTTCTTAAGTCACTTTTGGAGAACTTTGTGGGCTAAGTTAGGTACTAAGTTGTTTATTTTCAATTACTTGTCATCCTCAAACCGATGGTCAAACTGAAGTAGTTAATAGGACTTTGTCTACCTTGCTTAGGGCTTGATTAAAAAGAACTTAAGAACTTGGGAGGATTGTCTACCTCATGTTGAATTTGCATACAATAGAAGCATACATAGCACTACTGGATGTTCACCTTTTGAAACTGTGTATGGCTTTAATCCTTTAACCCCATTGGATTTGTTGAGTTTACCTTTGAGTGTGCAAGTCGACATAGATGGACAAAAGAAGACTGATTTTGTTAAGGAGCTTCATGCTAGGGTTCGAGCTCAGATTGAGAAGAAAACGCAACACTACATGAAGAATGCTAACAAAGGGCGCAAGGAAATCATCTTTGAACCTGGTGATTGGGTTTGGTTGCATTTAAGAAAGGAGAGGTTCCCTGAAAAGAGAAAGTCTAAGCTCTTACCTCGTGGAGATGGTCCATTACAAGTTTTGGAGAGGATCAACAACAATGCCTACAAGCTAGATCTTCCAAGTGAATATGGCAATGTAAGTGCTACTTTTAACGTTTCAGACTTATCCTTGTTTGATAGTGATGCAAGTTTGAGGACAAATCCTTTTCAAGGGAGATGGGATGATGCGCCAAGGGCTTATCATGGACATGAAGAGCACAATGGAGATCATAGAGAGGTTGATCATGGACTTGAAGGAAGCATGGAAAAACTTGAAGAAGAAGCTTGAAGAAGAAGGAGGAATCGCAAACCCTAATTCAAGTAGCATGGGAATCGCACATCATACTTCAAGTGACAAAGAGAAGCTTAATCGACCATTTGATCCTTTGGTGATGCCATTAGGTTCTATGACTAGGGCTAGAGCTAAAAGGTTCAAGGAAGCATTATTGGGCTTTGTTCGAACTCATCTTGAAGGATTGAAGTCCATTGAAGATCAATTGAAGAGTATTGAAGATCATAAGCCAAGGAATATTCCCAACGATTTCAAGCTATGCACTTTGCTTGAAATCGTTGAGCCTTGAATCTTTCATTATGTAATTCAGCCAATTGGGCCTTAATTCTATCTTAGATTATTTAATTATTTAGTTTGGACCTTGATTAGGGTTGGGCCTTGTTTAATTAAGTCCAATCCTCATCTATTTTCTTATTGGTTGTATTTTAGGATAGTTTCTAGATGATTCTGTGTAAACCGCCCTTGCCTATGCATTCAATGCTCAAGGTCGGTTAGGAAGGGTTTAGGCCGCCCCTTACTACTATATAAAGGGTGTATACCCCTCTTGTAAATATAAGTTGAGTTGATTAATAAAGTTGAGGTTTGTACACCCAAATTGATTATCTTGGCTTCATTGTTCTAGTTTGAGCAAACTTAGGGTTCTTCAATCTTGTAGAGTCCTAGCAAACAATTAGGTTGCGATTGCTTAATTGTTTGTGAATCTTGTGATCTTAAGTATTCAATTGCAGGTCTAATTGAAGACTTAGGGCCGACGAACGAAGAGAGATTGCTTTGTGAAGGTTGTCGACATACTAGTCTAGAAGTTGAAGAAGTTGAAGTAGATTCTTGGCGGGTCTGAAGGATAGATTTGAATCTAATACAACTAGATTCGTATCAACACTCCCCACCAAACTTATTAGCCTATATTCCTTGATCGAAATGGGGTTCTCACACTTAGAAATAAGAGTGACAAAAGAGGCATTTAACTTCTTGTCAAAAGTACCTTTTCTATAAAAGGCTTCAAAACTTTTCATCACATCCCCCTTGATTTCTCCCCAAAACTGTTTGAAAAAGTTCAGGTTAAAACCATCTGCCCAGGGGCCTTATTGCCATCACAGCTTTCAATTGCCTCAAAAACGTCAGTCTCAGTAAAAGGACGCTGCAACCAATCATTCATTTGGTCAGAAATCCTTTTAAAATCACCATCCATATCACTCACCTTGAGCGCCAACTTCTTATTGTAATGGCCTTCAAAATAATCGGCAACAACTTCCTTAATTTCTTCAGGTTCTTCTATCAGTAAACCTTCATGAATCAAACTTTTAATGGCATTTGTTCTGTTTCTCGATGAAGCCATCAAGTGGAAGAATCTTGTATTCCTATCTCCCTCTTTGTTCCACCGAAGTCTTGATTTCTGCTGCCACTCCAATTCCTCCACTCTATACAGCTTCCATAATTCACTCTTCAACTTCACAATTATTTCATTTCTCAATTCCTCATCATTAACATTATCACGACGACTCACCTCAAGCTCCTGGATGATTTCTTCCATCTCTTGAATTTTCTTGGCTTTACCAAACACACTCCTGCTAAGCCAATCCTTGATGGAAGGCTTTAACCTTCTAAGTTTAAGCCAAACCTCCCACTCATTATCATGTTGGTTATGCTCCATGTCCCACATACCCTTGACAATTTCACTAAACTCCTTCTCCTCCAACCAATAATTGAACATTATAAATGGTTTAGGCCCCCAATTTTTCCCATCAACAAAAAGAAAACAGGATTATAATCAGAAATTGACCTTGGCAAAATTTTTTGAGTCATATTAGGATACGTAACCAAGAAAATTGGTTACAAAAGAAAAAATAAACTTGACCCAAACATTACTAATTCAGACATTACAAGAATTAACTTGGAAAAATGGCTTCAAATAAGGGGAAAAAGGAGACTACCCTAATGAGAAAATAAACGAAGATGAAGAAAGTTTTTAAATAAACTAACTTCTTGGCAAAATTTTCATTGTGAAATATAAACAAACATCTGGACTACACAATAAAACTAGTAAAAAAACGTACATATATATCTTAATAATTGTATCCCCAATTGTGAATCCAAGACTATTTTTTTGCTACGTTGTGAATCCAAGACTATAATATAATTTGATAAGCAATTTTAAGAATAGGTAGGACCATTGAATCCAATTAAACCCTTAATCAAGGTTTAAATCAACAATCCTCAACACCCACAAGTTTTCAACGATCAAAACTTCTAAACTTCAAGCGAAAAAATGTAAGAAAATGAGGGGCAATGTACTTGTATTGGCTGAGAGATGATAGATAAGTAATCCATGAAGAAGAAAAACGAGAGAAAGAAAAGTTGTTATGAACCCAAAGATCGTCTTTGATAATAGGTGCATAGAATGTGTCAAAATATTTTAAGAAATTAAACTGGGAAGATGAAAAGACTTTTTTTTTGAGCCTGTAAAACTAAGCGACGTTAAAGTCATAAATATGGTAATATAATTGTGACCGTTCAAAACCTTTTAAATTAGAAAAGATAACGTGGCATTGATCCAAAGTCATATTGGAATTCGCTGGACATTGTGTCCACTGGACAGGAGCCGAACTTAAGGATGATTACAGAGCACGTCTTCGGTTTAAACGTTGGACTTCACAAGGGGATTAAGGTGTTGACACATATCCCTTTACTTCATTAATTAATTTGTACTTAATATTAAAATTTATTCCTAACTACATATGTCTAGAGGTGGCAAAGTGAATTCGACCCGAAAAAAATTCGCCTGAAAACCCGATCCCGAACCCGATTGACTAGAAAAAGTCAACTATCCGAATCCACCTGAACCTGAACCCGAAAAAACCCAAACCCGAAAAAGCTCAAACCCGAAAAAAATACGAACCCGGAAAAACTCAAACTCGAAAAAACCCGAATCCGAAAAAACCCGAATCCGAAAATTTATGAAAATTTCATTTATGCCTTATAATTTTTCATATGAATAAGTTTAAAAGGTAAATTAATAAATTACACATAAAATTTGAAAAAGGTAATGACATTATTCATCCGGAAACAAGGGGTAAATGATCTGGCCAAAACCCAAACAGAACCTGAATCCGGATTAACCTGATCCAAATTAACTCGAACCCGAATTAACCTGACCCAAATCCAACCCGAACCCAACTCAAGCCTGAACCCGAAAATGGCCCGAACCCGATAATCCGAGCCCGAACCCAACCTGACCCGCCCGTTTGCCACCTCTACATATGTCCATCCTTAACCCCGTATTTAAATTGAAGTATGCTAAACTCCATACAGTATATATTGTATAATAAAATTTTTCTAATAATAATATAGTTGAAAGCCTTAGATATGTTTTCTACTTTTCTTCTCCTCTTTCTTTAAATTAAGTAATCAAAATTATGATCCTCTGTTTGTCTTTTCTCTGGTTTGTTTTTGTTTAGATTAAGTTTTGGTCATGACTCATGAGATTTCAATTTGATAGTTTCTACTTTAATTTCTTTTAGAACTACAAATTTTCAATTACTAATACAAAACTTTCTACTTTAATTACGTATATACTTACCCGCTGTGGGTCTCAATGGCCTCAGCATGGCGCAGAACCGTCCAAAGCCACAATGTGATGATATGGCATGGAACCATGGCCGGACCAAGAAACGTCGGGATCCCCAAAATTAAGATTTCTGCCCAATGGGCGTATGGCGCTGCAAACCCAATGGGAGCATAGTATTCATGGTGCATGTAATGGATCTTCTCATACCCCCATCTGCTATGCAGCAGCCGATGAATCCAGTAGCTTGAATAGTCCTCAATCAGAAAATATACCACCAATTGGCTCATTATCTCCAATTTCGATGGTAATGGCAAACTTGTACGGTAATTTATCCCAATCAACTGCATTTATTAACATATATATATATATATATATATATATATATATATAGAAAGTGTTACTTGAATGCCAACCAGAAACTGAAATTAATTAAGATCTTTTGAGTTTTGTATAGGTTTTGCGTTTGCAGTCGATATATACATGCATACATATACTCCATCCAAATTAAACTTTAGCCATTTTCACATAAATTAAGAAAGCCATTAAAATTGCTAAGTTTCATACAATAAAATAAGCAAATGACTATAATACCCTTTTATCCATCTTTCATGTTTTTTTTTAAGAAAATCTCTCCATGTTTTTAATAGTCTCTCTGTTCATTTTTAATTATCCAATTTATTTATTTAAGAAAACTAGTTAATTTCTTATATTCTATAGCAAAATCACATAATCTTCATATATTACTCTTTGTTAATTTGCATGAATGTTTATGGAATTCCTCAACCTGACATGCATGAGTGGTTGACACAACAACCTTATTAAGATATTTACAATTCCAACAACTAAGTTGACTAGGAATATGAGAGTATATTTGTAAAGAATAGATAATGGATAATTAAAAAGGAACAAGGGGTGTGAACAATAAAAAAGGTCTAGAGGGACAGGGGCGGAGCCAAGCCATTTTAGTGGGGTCACTTGACCCCACTGAAATGGTAAAATGTTTTTGAAGTCCCTATATTTTTGAGAAAAAATTTGGGTAGTATTGCATATTGACCCCACTGAAAATCAAATTGATTGTGGTCAATTGAAAATTTTCAAACATAAATTATTTGATTGATTATACTAATAATTAATTTTAGTACACATATAGGATTTATATGCATTCTTGCAAAAGTGGGAGAAAACATTATTTTTGCTAAGGAGAGATAACAAAGTAAACATAATTCTTTTACATAGTACTTCCACATTATTTACAAGAGATGGAAGAAATTAAATATCTTTTAGATGCTACTTTTTGAATAATACCTTGAATGAACATCACATATTATCACTTTTTCCAGTTTTCCTATAATTTTAAATTATATATTGTGTTAGCACAACATTAATAAAGCATTTTGTTAGGATTCACCATTCATAAGTGTCAATTTCATAATAAATTAACAAAGAAAAGTGACAAAATAAATAAGGAGGCGGTAAACTAAAAATAAGGTGAAAAATATTAAAACTCATGACAAATTTATTATTAGATTTTATACACAGTTTTAAACTACAAAAACTTATCAATAAAGTATAAATAACACATTTTTATATTGAATAATTATTTTTGTTGTGTGTATATATATTGATATTCAATTTTTTCTATAAATTATGATATTTAATATATTATTATATTGACACCATTGGATCAAAATCCTGGCTCCACCACTGCAAAGGGAGTATTATGT